CTCATTGTCCACTATGATTACTTGTTGCGATCCGTACATTTGTAAAATCGCGTGATCATAAATCTATCTTGAAAGAAATTACAGAAATACATCACGTTATTCTCAACTAGTCAATTTATGTAAATGTTTTGCAAATTTTGGATTGATTATTGATTTTGGCACTAACCTATTGAGCGAATTTGAAGTCGCCTGAATTAGTAGTTCAAGAATTATAAATCAAAATAATCTCACACCATGATCTCCAATTTTTGTAATTAAAATAGACAAAAGATTAAAAGTTCTAGGTATATATTAAACTTTTCATCCATGAATATAGACATCGATCAATACTCACTAAACTTTACGAGTTTATCTCATTAGTCTCTAAATCGATATCATTCACAAAAACAAGATTATTTTGTGCTAAATTATCAAATATAACAAATTTTAATAAAAGTTGAAAAGATGTGTACTTAAAAAGTTGTGAGACTAATAAAATGTATGATTAAAATTAATTGATGACTTTAATTTAGATTACAATCTTGATTTAAATTTTTACGAAACAAGGGCTTAATAGGGATCCGAGCTGCCAATAGACTGAACTCTCACGAGCCAACTCACCAAGCTATCGAGCTCTCTTAATCCATTGCCAGCCCTATTTAGAATAAATAGACATTGTGTAACCCATTTTTCTAAGGAAAAATGATGAAAGTACAGGGAAATTTATATAGAAATTGAACAGAAATTTGAATTCTCAGACACATGGTGCGGACCCCATGTATTAAATATTGGAAAAAAAATATTGCTCCTGCCCTTGGCTGTGTCTGTTATGTAGGTACAAAAATTTTGAATTCCTGTACTTATAGCATGGTTGTTTTCTAAGCCCCTTTGTTATATTTGTGCTTAACATCTATTGTGTTTGGCCCAATGATGAAGCCCAATTATCACAGCCTGTTACTATTTGAGTGTGACCCGGTTTTGGCCCACATGTGTAGTCTCGTGTTTTTCTGGCTATGCGATTTTGGTTGTT